TAATTGCAAAATTAAATTCAGGGTTTTTAGCTTCTATTTTTGAAACATGGTTGGAACTGTGTAATAAAAAAAACCATATTTTAAATCAATTAATTTATAATATTAATGCTCTGTAAATTTACATTGAGCACTATTTTGTAAAAATAAAAATATCTATAAGAACACCGGATTTTATATCTTACTGTTCTATTTATATATATATATTTATATATATATATATATATATATACACACACAATCAGAGTGAGGGGGGACAAAAATATTTATACACATACAAATTTTTAATTTATTGTTATTTCCAACTAATGAATAAACATACTTTTCATATAATTAGCTGTACACAGATGCATAATAACTAAATATGCATAGAAAAAAGATAAATTTTGATTTAATAGAAAAAATTAAAAGAAATGACAAACTAAATAATCTCATCCTTCATTTTTCACTGAACAAGTCTTTGATCTTATTCTTTATAAATTAATTATCTATCGGTTTAATGGTAAATTTGTTTTTGCATCACATTTCTCATTTTTTTCAAATTTTATCTATAAAAATGATATAAAAGTATGTGAAAAATGCCTGTAATTAGACATATTCTCTAACATTCAGTAACACCTTATATCTTAGTGGCTTTATTGCCTTGCATGGAGTAAAATGATTAAAAAAAAGACAAAAATTATAATTAACTGTACACAGATACATAAATAAATGTGCATAGAAAACAGAAAAAAAAAATTGATTTAATAGAAATAAATCCCATTTATCCATTTTAATGGGTGAAAAAAGTATTCGTACAATGCAAATTTCAGATTTTAAAACTTTTACATTGCTTTAATACTCTAGATTATTCAAGTGGAATATTTCTAGAATGTTCCAATAATGTTATCAGTAGTTATTTTTAGCCTAAAAATACACACAGAAATTCTATAATTGATATTCATCCAAGAAGGTCTTCATCATGGCAAGAGGTAAAGAATCGACAAATTAGCAAAAGAACTAAATGTTAAGCTCAGGAAAAAAGGTAAAAGTTACAGGAAAATCTCAGACAATCTGAATATTCCATTTACTGCTATTAGTTCATTCATTGCAAGGTATAGAAAACTTAAAAACCGTTGAAAACCAAAGAAGAACAGGTGCTCCATGGAAGATTTCTGAAAGATCTTTGAGGAAATTAATGTGTCAAATTAAACAAAATACAATGCTTACTCATTAAGAGATGCAGGATAATTTGCTTTCATCATCAGGAATCTGTGTTACTAAATGAACAATAAGCAATGAAATTCATAGGAACAATCTAAAGTCATGCCCCTCTTGGAAAACTCTATTGCAATTGAAAAGATACAGTGATGCCAGGTTGAAATTTATTCGTGAACATAAGGATAAGGGAAAATCATATTGGGAAAGAGTATTATGGACAGACGAAACCAACATTGAGTTGTTTGGACGTAATTCTAGGAATCATGTATGGATGAAAGATGGCAATGACTTAAAAAAAAAAAAAAAAAAAAACTAACAGGAAAATTTGGTGTTGGCAGCATCATGGTTTGGGGATGTTTTTCTGCAAAAGCAACATATCAGTAATGGATGGTAGAATGAATGCTGCAGCATATCAAAATATTTTGGAAGCAAATTTAATGATTTTGGTTAAAAATCTTGAACTTTCTCCTAATTGGATCTTCCAACAAGTTAATGATCCTAAGCCCACTGCAAAATCTACGAAGAAATGGATTGCTGAAAATAATGTAAATATCCTGAAATGGCCAAATCAGTCCCCAGATTTAAACCCAATTGAGAATCTGTGGTGTTATTTGAAAATCCAAATCCAATCCAGAGCTCAAAAAAACATCCCAGATACAAAGGCCATATGCAAGGAAGAATGGAAAATATCAACTAAAATTTACAAATTAATTGGGACCTACAAGAAGAGTTTGATTGCTGGAGAAGTAAATGATGGCAATTCTACAAAATATTAAATGCAGATTATGTATTGTTTTTTTGTTTGTATTGTCTGAATATTTTTTTCATCCATTAAAATGGTTAAATGGGATTTATTCCTATTAAATACTTTTTTCTGTTTTCTATACATATTTAGTTATTATGCATTTGTGTACAGTTAATTATATGAAAAGTGTATTTATTCCTTAGTTGGAAATACAGTAGATTAAAAATTTGTATGTGTATAAATATTTTCTCCCCCCCGCCCACTGTAATAAATATATATATATATATATATATATATATATATATATACAGAGGGGATAAATTGTCATCTAAATTCTGCAGAACTGAAAATAACACTGACATTTCATTTTAACAGGTATATTTACCAAAATTACACAAAAATATCTTGAAATACTAAAGAGTAAATTTAATCAATAAAATCACCATTGGCTTAAACAATGTCCTCCAAACAACATCAAAATCTCCCCTCAACTTCTCCAGATATAGGTTCTTCCAGCAGACACCCTCTTGATCTAGGGCAGCACTACCTCTGCAAGGTACTTGATATAGGCCTCCATGTTGAGTCTGAGGCCCTGTCTGAAGATGAATGGAGGCATAATGTCATGATCACTTGTGATCACTCCAAACATCTTCATAATCACCATTAGACACATCCAAATCTTTCTGAATGCTTTGCACTATTCTCAGATTGACACCCAAACACTCTGAAATATTCATATTGAAGCTTCTGATGCAAATGCCAAGCAGTAGAGCATGCTGTTTCCAAATTTTTGGTTGAGTGAATCGCATCATGGCACACTTTTTCTCACAGATGGTGCCCAACTGACCCTACTATACTGTGCAGTCAATAAAATCAAAAACAAACAATGCACGAAATTAAAAATATAAAATAGTGAAAATTTAGGAATTGCACCCTGTATATATGAATATATAGGATAATGATATATAAATTTTTATATATCACGAACAGTTTTGGAGGGCAGATGCATGATGAAACAGGTCTCATGAAAACTTTTTCCACTTTGTTGTGTATATATATATATATATATATATATATAAATTAAATAATTAAGAAATAGACAACCTTAAGTTTCCAGATGTGACCTGATGAACTATTATTATAACCAGGAAAAATATATCTTCTGGGGAAATAAATTATAGTCATGGAAACTTAAAGTTGTCTATTTCTTAATTATTTAATTAATAATTGCTCTGTTGTTACATTGAGCTTTCTAGATCACATCCTTTTTGGAATTATCCATACAGATTACTATACTCTTCATTACCTTACTATATATATATATATATATATATATATATATATATATATATATAACACTGGACTTTCATGCCTCTTTCGATGTATAAATGTCCAGCATAGAACCAAGCAACCAGACTACCCACACACATGATTTAACAAGAATGGTAAAGTCTTGTGCAGAACTAATCACACTTTATGGAAGAACTGCTGTGATTGAACCAAAAGCAATAGCAAACAAAATTTACATATATAAATTATGGTAGAGATGACAGGAAATGAAATAAATTTCAAGGTGGTGACATTTTCATGTGTTTTTATATAACAATTGACTAATTAACAAACAAGAGACTGTACAGTAGTATGTATGCAAATATAACTGAAAAGAAAAAAGACATTAAAATTTAGAAATTGTGTGGGTGATACACGCATGCTTAAGTGAAAAAGTTCAGTCACCCAGGGGAAAAGTATCCCCATGTCCAGGACAATGCCCTGTGCTGGTGTTGTCACTAGAAGGAAAACAGAGAAAAGAGATAGAAGACAGGAAGTGTCAAGTTTTTCTGTCTGTTGAACGGTGCCATATATCAACATTTTAACAAATATGGCAAAGCAATGTAGGAATGACCCACAGAACCAAATATCAAGAACTAGTGGACACAGTGTGCCATAATTCATATACTTTGAATGTTTTCTACCTCAAATGTAACAAGTGGTAACTCATCTTGTTACAAACTGGTGACCAATAGTAACCTGATCCATTAAAAATTTGAACCATCTCACCAGCTACACTTTTTTTTGAAAAAAAAATTACAAACGATTTAAGTGAAATGAAAACATTTTGCTTCTACTCACATTTCACAAATTGTCAAATTCATGAGATTAAATTGAAATTTCCTTAAGACTTTGTCAAAAAAAAAAAAACCCAAAAAAAAAAAAAAAAACCAAACATACACACCGTTTCCCATGCTCCAAATCTTGTATTTACCACCTTAAGCATTGTGACACTTTCATTGCAAGACTTGATTCGATCTCACTGTAGGTCAAATGCCTCGCTTTCTCCCAGGACAAACTCAACTCAGACTTCAAGTAAAACTCATACATATGATATATTCTATTCCCTGTACCACTCCAGTAAGTAGCTGACTCCTCCAGCTATCCTTTATCTTTACAAGAGCCAGATCAGCCGGAAAATGAAATATTGCTCCCAGTTTTCACTTTCCAGTCTTGCTAGAGACCAAAAGTGTCTACATAGCCTTGTAGGTGATTAGTTTTCCCCTACAACCACTTTCTCACAAACAAAACATTGCCAAACTCTTGTTAATCTATCACTTTTTCATGGAAAGTGTTCGTGGTTGATTGATTTATCAACTGTTTGAAAGTTATTTAAAGCAAGAAAATATTTCTAGATCATAATTATTTTTTTTTAGATAAAAAAGTCTTACTAATTAACCCATAGCTGGAGGGAGAACAGGTGGAAACCTTTCCAAAAGGCATTTGGCGTAAGTAAATATAACAAACCAAACCGGAATTTGAACTCGGCTCTGCAATTATCAATTCTGAGCCAATATTTATTGCAGTGGTCCCCAAACGTTTCCCACCACGGACTGGTGTCATACAAGTTATTTTTCTGTGGGTGGGCTGGCAGTACATCATTGTCAGTCATATACCTTAACACAATAAAAAAAAAAGACCATGATAGTCAATAAAATTCAATGATCTATCAAACGATCCACAACTCAGTGGTTGGGGACGGTTGCATTACACCACCTGCACATCTAAGCTTACAGTACCTAGTATAACCAAGGGGTCACCCATCTAGGTACTGACCAGGCAGGCCTGATGTTGCTTAACTTCAGTGATCGTATGGGAACCGGTGTTTTAATGCAATGTAGTTGTAAGCCTAGAAAGTGTTCAGATGAACTACATTCCTTAGTTTGACCAGTTCGACCTTTCATGACTAAGACCTACCCTGTTACGCACATTGTAGATAACCACCTTCATTTTGTTTGTATTCCATTAATGAGAAGTTCCACTCAAGCAGCTTTTTCCTACAAACCACTGTTTTGCAGAACTGACTCCTAAGAGGATGTTTCCAAGATCATTATCATCTTAACCAGTTCAAATCTAGGTTTAACCATTATCTTCCCCACTTATCCACATAAACTGTGCTATGCCTCTTACTCTGTAACCCTCTACCCGATTTATGGAAAAGACTCCCAAGAGGATGCTTATCTTCCCCACATAAACTGTGCCTCTTTCTCTGTAACTGTAGGACATCTCTTAGGCCTAGTAAAAAAAAAAACAGCTCAGTTTTTTCTTGACACTATTGTAGAAGTCTTACCTGCTAACATGGCTGCCTTCTTGTATCTCCTTCGAAGGGAGAGCCAGCTAATCTACCTAATTTATAGGAGAGCACCTAATGCAGCAGGTGGGTTAGTACACTTTCTGGAATGGACCTGCCCAACACATTTGCATAAGTGGACTCTATTCACTCATATATCTCTCCATTAAATGACTCAGATCACTTCGACTTGGAAGTGGCTACACCAGTCTACTTGTGTGTCAGACTACTTGCAAACTAACCAATATTCTACAACTATCAATTTGCAAATGTATGCCTCAGATCAACAGGAGAATTTTTTAAAGAAAGTACCTCTGTCAAACCATCTACACCCTTAATAGTGGTGGTGGTGGTGGTGGGGTCTATTTTGACACTGGTAAGCCCATTTATTCTGCTACATTCATACCCTCCTCCACATGTTTCTTTCAAAAAGACACAACAAAGTTTTACTACTGCAAGCCAAATATCCTCCTAACTATCAGTATGAATAATGATGTCCAATTTATCAAAAACTGATGGAAATAATTAAAACATCCAGTTTTCGACAAGTTGTTGGAAAGGCATGAATATAATAAAATGCTTCCTACCAAAAAGTGTTGCCACTAACATAATTATTTTATGGGGTGGGAGGTGGGTATTTGAATTTAATTCATATCACTGGTCATATCATAAATAATTGTTTAATTAAATTAAAGAGATAAAAATGGACATGTTAAAACTAGAAGAGAATTAAGAAAAAGCAGTAGAAAAAATACTGTAAAGTGGTAATATCGAAACAAGTTTAACAAAAATTTAATTATTACCACTTTACGGTAAGGTGATTTTTTGCTACTGTTTTCGTTAATTTTTCTTTGTGTTTTAATATGTCCATTTTTATCACTTTAATTAAGTTTTATATGCCTGCAAAAACATTTGAAATAATTATAAACTGATGATGACCAAATGTGTGAAATTAGTAACATTGAATTATCACTGTTATGACTCCGAGGCTTCCCACCTAATTTTAGGAAAACTAACATGGCATTGGATTTAAGAAAATTAACTCAGCCCAGAGCTACTCAAAGCATGACTATTGTCTGGTGGTACACAGTAAATTTCCGAGAAACAAAATAACAGTAGTGATATTCCACGCTATGGGAGACTGCCAGGATATCTGACAAGGTTTTTTTTTTTTTAACCATTTTAGTTATCTATTTATTATGGTTACATTTTTTTCAATTACTCAATAATGTTAAAAGTTATAGCTATATAACTAAAGAATTCGATATATTGCAACCGCACCTAGGAATAACAAAAGGCCATTTTCATGGACATATTTCTACAAAGTCAATATAAAATAAAAAAATGATGCCACTTTTATTATATTCATTCTAGCATAAATGAATAATACTAGGAATTAAGGAACCAGTTCCTGGCACACTAGGAAGATTTGTTACATTAATGAAGACTGACCTTAGAATAAAATATCATGTCCTCATGTTTCAGCAGCTAAGAAAATTGGTTCACCGTGTGGTGCTAGACAATTTTACTCTCCAGAATCTATATCTAAATCTACCATTCATCTATGCTTAGAATATTGCTGCCACATATAGTCTAATGCCTCTGCTATTTACCTAGAGCTCCTTGATAAAATCCAAAAGAAGAATCAGCAATAATATTGGTCCTGATCTGGCAGCTCAGCTTCAGTCACTTCCCCACTGCTATAAGGTTAGCTCTTCTATAAATAATTCCATGGTAATTGTTCAGGTGAGCTCTTTGCTATGGTTAACTGATATTTCTGCCACATTTAGTGATTGTGTGTGGGGGGGGTTTATTACTAATATTATTTTCTTTAGTTTCTTGTAAATAGTTTTATTTTCATATTGTAAATACTCATTGGGGCTAGTTTTTAGGAATTGTTGTTTTTATTCCCCTCCTCCCACAGACAAATGAATTGTAAATATGGGGACTAGTTAGTATTTTCATAGAGAATATGAGGTATTATGGTGGATGTAGTAAGGTGCATATAAATATGTTGTTTTGGTGTAAGGAATATTGTTTGTATGATTGGGTCAGTGTTTGCGGTTAGCTAAGTTATCATTAAGACAGAAGAAGACCGTCCTTTCCCTAATCCTCCCTTTGGCCTTGTGCCACATTTCTGTGTACATAACAGAATAAATATTGCTCTTTGCTAAGGTAACTAGACTTTTTTTTTTTTAATTTAATCACAGTACTAGACTGTCATCAAGATTTCATCACTTTACAATTGAGCTGGCTAGATGTAGCTGAAAATTCTATGCTAACAGTTTCTTTTCTTGCACTTCTCACTTGTGGAACTCCCTTCCAGCTCCATACTTCCCAGCCAACTTCAATCTGCAAAAATTTAAATGCAATATCAATCATTATCTTTTGTCTCCTTGATTACTTTTCTATTGTTCTCACTTGTTAATGATGTGTCTCTTTTTATTCTTTTTCTTTCACGCTCAGTAACCCATTGTGGCTTAGTGGCTTTACTGCTTTGCATGGGGTGAAACCAATTTTTAAAAAAAAAAAAAAAAAAAGGAACTGTCTCAGAATGACCCTGAAATTACCCCCCCCCTCTAAGCTGGATTAGGAATCTTTGCTCACTGGTCCATTGTACATTGAGAAAAAAATCCTATATGCCACATCAGATAGTTTGAGAAGCACTGATTTAGCCCATTCATGTCCATGATAAAATCCAATTATAAAAATCTGATATTAATTAACTATTAGAAGAATTACTATTTAACTAGCCAAAAGACTGTGCCATATTCGGAACAAGTAGCATTTTGTTAAATACTTTAATTATGGCTATAATAAAAATTATAGGTCTAATAAAAAAAAAACAAAGTTTTGATTAAACGTTTCCTCTTGTAACTCATCAATGCTCACCCTCACCAAAATTATGGTTATGGCTACAGTAAGGATAATGTCTGAACTCAACTCTTTGTTACAAAAGGACTAAACAAGATATTAAAAGAAATACTTAATTAATAAAAATGACTAATTACAAAAGCATTAAGACAATCCAAACTGACTGTTTGCATAAAATAAGGAAAATATGGGGAGAAGTCATTTTTTTCAGATGATTTTTTTCAGCTTATTTCTTAGATTGCAAGAATTTTTGGGACATAATAATCATTTACCGATGCAAGTCTTATTAATTAACCCATAGCTGGAGGAGAAAAGGTGGATTCCTTGGACTGGTATTTTTATGGTTGTTTTCTACATTAGTTAAATTATTGACAGATAATGGGCTTAATGTACATAAACAGGTGACTTTTTCTTGCCATTCGCCATTATTAAACAAGAGCAGAGCCTCTTGTGGTTGTAAATAGGTGATGTGTGATTAATTTTAAAAAAAAATTAAAATTGACACATATACATATATATGTGTCAATTTTAATTTTTGCCAAAAATTACAAACGATTTAAGTGAAATGAAAACATTTATCTTGCTTCCACTCACATTTCCCAAATTGTCAAATTCATGAGATTAAATTGCAATTTCCTTAAGACTTTGTCCAAAAAAAAAAAACAACAACAAAAAAAAACACACAGTTTCCCAAACCTTGTATCTACCACCTTCAGCATTGTGACACTTTCATTGTAAGACTTGATTTGATCTCACTGTAGGTCAAAGGTCTCGCTTTCTCTCAGAACAAACTCAACTCAGGCATTTTAATTAACCCATAGCTGAGGGAGAAAAGAGGTGAATTCCCAAGACTGTGCATAAATGAATATAATAAACCTGACTGGAATTGGAACTTGCCTCTCAGATTTCCATTTCGAGTCATTCATTACATCACCCACACATCTAGATACTGACCAGGCTCAATGTTGCTTAACTTTTGTAATCATACAAGAACCGGTGTTTCAACATGATGTGGCTGTAAGCTTTTTGAAGATTAGAATGTAATCTGCAAAACACAACCTTAGACCTTCTTCTGCCCATGACATTTGTCAGCACCAAAAAATATTCATTTTTATCATTTTAGAAGTGGGATTCTGTTCATAATCTAAGTACAGTGTCAAATCAATCTTTGACTTTATAAAGAGTTACCTGGATTTTGTTTTTATTTACAAGTATCAAACCTGAACCTGGGATTACATTATTGATAACTTTGAACTATTACAGTTTGAGAAAAGACAACATCAATTATTATTCACTATTTTCTCAGATTTCTCTTAAAACCTTCAAAGATCATCGTGAACTACATGATATCTGAATTTTATAAGGAAGGTAATAAAAATACTGTTCAACTCAGATATCATTTAACACAGTAGATCTCCATGGAGAGCATAAGTTGTACTATGACTTTCTGGAGATTTCACCTTCTAGAACTTGCTTATTTTTAAGTTTGTATGTTATATAGTGGCTCAGATTGAGAAATCAGAGAGCCGAGTTCGAATTCCAGTCAGATCCATTACATTCACTTATGTGTTAATACCCTTGGGAAAGGTATGAATCCTCTTCTTCTCCTCCCAGCTATGAGTAAATAGCAGGAATGACCAGGTTCTATAGCCTTGGATGGCAACTGGTCT